AAAAGCCGGCCTGCTCCGGGGGGGTGGGGGCAGCCGTGTGGGGAGGGGGCAAAGTGACACTTGTGCCTTTAGGGACCTGCACGCCCCATGGAGGGGGGGGGACAGGGGGCACCGGCCGAGCATCTCCCCCCGGGAGAGCCCACCCGTCCCCATGGCCCCCCCTGGGGAGAGAAGAGCTGGGCTGTCACCCTCCCCCCCCTTCCCCCCAACCTGCTGCTTTTCATCCTCGGAAGAAATTTTATTTTCCTTTCACCCCTTCCCCGTGCAAAAATAATTAAAGTTTATTTAACGATGAGCGAGGCTGTCTCGGGGGTTTGCTTCTGCGCCGGATCCCGGGTGTGGGAGGGTCGGGGACAGGGAGAGGTGCTGGTGGTCCCCATCCTTCCTGCCTGTCCCCACACCTCCCTGTCCCTCCTCTGGGGTTCTGCAGGGTGTTTTGGGGACCTTTCCCCATTTTCCTTCCCCCCGTTTTCCTTCCCATCCGCTCCCCACCGCTCTCGGCATCTCCCCGTGTTCCTTCCCGGCTCCCGGGAGGGTTTGGGGTGAACCCAACCAGCACGGGGACCCCCATGGGACTTTCAAGGAGGGAGGGGACAAAAGCCAGGCCAGCTCCCCTGACACCCCCCCTACTACCTGGGGGTCCCATCCCCCTGCCTGGGGAGGCCGTGCCGGATCCGGTGGCGGCGCAGATCCCGGCTGAGCCGCGGGGCAGGGCCCTTCCTGCGGCAGGAACCTCCCGAGGAGCCGTTTCCTCGGCCGGGGCGGCAGCGGGTCCCCTCCGCCATCGTCCCTTCCCTCCTACCCCGAGGGGAGGAAAAGGGGACGGGGGTCTCCCCCAAAACCGCCCCTTCTCCTCCGTCCTGCTTGAGGGGGGGAACCCGGGCACCCAACGCCGCCGCGGAGCCCGGCCCCGTCTTCCGACGAGGCGCTGGCAGGAAACCGGGGCGAGTCGAGACCAGCCCAGCGCGGGCACGAGCGGGACCCGGTGCGCGCCCCACCGCCCCCGCACGCACCCGACACCAGCCCCAGGTGAGATTTGGGGACCCAGGTGGCTTTGGGGGGCTCGGGGACCTTGGGTTGGGTGGCGTTGGGGGTTTGGAGACGGCGGCGTGACCCTCGGGGCCGTTGGCGGGTGAGTTGGGGCGGTTTGGGGAATGCCCACCTGGGCTTGGGGCTCAACGGGGACCCCACAACTCGGCTCCCCCGGCGTCCCCGCGCCCCCCAAGGGGTTGGGAGGTGCCATCAGCCCCTTTCCCCATCCCGTCTGCCGCAGGCGGAGGCGCCGGGGCGGCCATGGAGGCGGCGGTGCCGGCGGAGGAGGCGTTGGTGCTGGTGGAGTACGGCTTCGAGTACCGGGCCAAGGACGGGACCTTGGTCTCCATCAAGCCCAACGAGCGCTACGTCCTCCTGAAACGCACCAACCACCACTGGTGGCACGTCAAGAGGAGCGGGGACGCACGGCCCTTCTACATCCCTGCCCAGTACGTCAAGGAGCTGCCCCCCATCGCCACCCCGGCCCCCCTGGACCCCCTGCCACCAGCGGGGCAGGCCAGGACGGAGCCGGCCACGCTCGTCCCTCCGCTGCCACCCACCTACGAGTATCGGTTTGTTGGGACAGAGGAGCCGGATGGAGGATGCTCCGTGCCCAGGAGGGACTCGGTGACCAGAAGGGACCCGGTGCCACAGAAGGACTTGGTGACCAGGG